TTGATGTTCATTTGTCTCTAATTCATAAGAAGAGACCTCAACACAAAGCGAATGAGGCAAAACAAGGCGAGTTTATTAACAACATATCAAACTATCCAAAATCCATTGGTGCTCTTTTCATAGGAAAGTGACATGAACTGGTTCACTTTGTGACTCAGCTTCTTGAATGGTATAAATAGAAAGGCATCGCATATGTAATCTCATCATTTAACAAAAACTGTGTATCTCTTTGTAAATACATTTAACTTACACGGACATTTTTAGGTCAGTGTAGTCCACGGGCCAGAGTAGGTTCTCGATACCACTCATTTGATGAAAGGGTATATAAAAGAATCTTCAAATTCACTTGATAGCAATCGCGAAAGAGTAGCTTTCTCCATTTTTTTAGTGGACTTAATATCAGTAACCAGGGAAAAATGATAACAACAACAAAGAAATGTTCGGACAAATGCATGAAAAAAGAACCCAATGAAGTAAAAAACAGAGCAATCAATCAAAACTGGTTTTAACGTTACATCACAACGATTCGGTAACAAATGGAGAAAGTTATTAATAAATATCGTAACGTAAGGATCAGAAAAAGGAAAGTAAGGTACATTTTTTTTTTACAACTAACTAAATATTGTACATCTTTCTTGGTTAAATTGCAAGAAATTTTCACAAATAATGTAAGACTTCAATTGTCAATTATTATTAAATAAATAGTAAGGGGAATGTTCTCCATAAAAGAACAAAGGGATAAATTATTATTATCTATAGGGGCTATGAATAGTAATGGATACCTCCTGCGTTACTGTACATAAAATACTTTGAGAAAAACCCATCTTCACAAGACGCTGGTGAATGAAGAGTTACCAATAAAATATGTAAACGCACTGAGCGGTCAACTTTGCACCTTAACAAATTTTTTTCCATAAATGGAATCAGTCGGAACTGTTGCTGAATAAAGCCGCCTAATTAAACCACGTGCTGAAATTTTGCCCATCGTCTTCCATTGCTGGATTGCGTTGTTTTCCCATCGATGTCATCTGTTCCCGAAGGAAGTGAATAACGTACACCACGATCGTGAGTGTACATGCTGGCGTTACTCTAAAAAAAAACAAACAATCAAACGAAAAAATACAGTAAAACCAGCAATTAACGTATTCACAGAGATTGCAGTTTCTGGATATCTTCTATAGCGCTCCTGGGCTGGATTTCCGAAATTCGAAAAAAAAAAAGAAAAAAAAAGAAACCGCAAAAACTTACACTAACACATCAGATGGAGCACTGCCGAGTTCTGTCCAGTCAAACATATGGAATTTCTTTCGCCTCTGCCAAACCAACGAGATGAAAATACCTTAAAATACCGATTACTTTTTCTACCGCTTCTTTGTTGAATTGCCAATCAGTTGGCATTCCAGACCCAGAGATTGTCTTGAGCTTTACAGCTTTACTTTGGGCCTTACTGGTGAAATGAGAGTGACTGCTCTAGGATGAGAGGCCATTACCTTCTATCAAAATCCAGGACACCTGACATCTCCAAAAATGTTAATGAGTGAAAAAAAAGTGACTATTGCACTTAGGTAACCTGGCGCAAACCACCAAAACTTTCCCCAATATAATCTCAAAGATAACGCAACACAATCAGTTACTCGCCAATCATAAGATTATCGATTTGTTTAGAATTAATCAGCGCACGAGGACGAATATGGAAAGGCTATCGGGCATCAAGTGAACTAACATCCGATAACATCTCGAACTGTGAACAGGACCCTGAGAGTGACGCTAAATGAGTACGCTTCAAACTTCGAGTCTCTTGACTGAGACAAACACCATGTCTCAGACGCTTTTTTCGAAATAGTTTCACAATTCTTTTATTACTTTTTTTTTGCGAATTTCTGTAGTTCTTAGCATTAGAAACAAAACAAGAATGTAAATATTGCAAAGAAAAGCTCTTCCGTGGAAAAGCGCCAACGTTTGACTGAGAGGTTTGAAATTTCAGAATTTAGACCACCTGTTCATGGTCTAAAATTCAAATTCGGTTAAAAGATTCCTTAGGACTAGAGGATATTAGGATCAGACAGTTCTAACTCAATTTGATCATCTCAAATAAAATTTTGTTCAAAAGTTCTCTTCTATAGTTCGGTCGCATGTCACATTAAAACGATTTTAAAAAGAGTGAGCAACCCCGCATAAAAGAAAAAAAAACAAGCAACCCAGAAAGGGCGACCCTCTATTAGTATAAAAGTTTTGTATTCAAATGATGGTTATTAACAGCTTTTAGGACCTGTCAAGTCTCTCATTTTAAAACAACATATACGATACATACAATATCATATTGTGGTGACGAAAGGGTTGGAATACACGCGAGAAATTCTTCAGTGCTGCAATTTGGGAGCAGCTTACATCATAAATTTAAGTAACGTAAAGATAAAAAGAACTTAAACTGACACACGTTAGGTGACAAAAAAAAACCTGTCACGTTTGCAGCGTCATTGACTTAAATGAACTTCACAGTCACCCAATTGTTAGTGTCAGGTTGAGTAATAAATTGTTCAAATTTTTCTGGAATTTCGAGAGTTTGTTTGCATTTCCGTTAAATATTTCTACAATTTACTTGGCCTGATCCTAAACTTAAATTCGAATTGTAGCTTCGTCTCTGCACTCAAGTTTTTATGTCGTTCTCGAATAGTGGAATCTTGTTTACTATGAACAAATTAACTGCATCCCACATCATCAATATTTGCTCTGCTTGGAACGGACAATTTGACGTTCCTCAAGGTTAATTATGTTTTCCTTAGATTATGGATGGGTTTCTTTAGTTAGACAATGGATAATGAAAAGATGACAGGGATGTGTTATGAAAATACTCCTAAGAGCTGATTTGAAAGTAGCTTTCGTATGTTTGTAGTTAAAAATTAACCAAACCTTAATTCGTGCCTAAAAGCTAATAATTTGTACCGATTAGTTTTCATTTAAAATTAATGAAACAAATATCCTCGCCATTGGTTAGCAAACATCGCAAACAGAACGATTATAATATTTTAACTTCCGGCCCTAATCTTGTTGAATTCAATACTTGAGAGGAGCGAAAACAGAAAACATGAAGTTCTTCTTCAATGTTAATTATTGGACTTTGGCTTAAAACAAACGGTTAGTATCGTAATCATAGTCATAATACCTTCATGAAAGACAGCATTTTTATCTCGGTAGCAATCAAGTGGTTGAGGACCGCATTTCGTATATTTATCAGCTCTAGAGTTACGTGGAATAAGTTTGACCTATATCCCAAAATAGGGTTTAGTAAATATTTGAGGGAAAACTTACAACGGCCACCTTTTAGGATTTAGTTTTCAGATATCACCTATGAATGCCATCCATAGAAAGCCTGTGTATTTGGTTTAACACGATGGTGGTTGAATTCTACTTTGTTTCTACTTCCCCTAGACGGTTTTGAGGTTTTGCAGTGCCTTGGAAAAGATTAAACGGAAAAAAATTGTAGCAAATGTCGTGCGGGAACTTACTTTTTTCTTTTTATATAGAGGGCTGAAGTGGTCTCTAAGACTAACATAAACAATTAAAACAAAGAATTGATAGCGTTCATATAAGTTTCGGCAAGAACGGAATCATGAGGTTCATTTTGGATAAATGATTCGAAACAACTTTTCTCTCAAGCTATTATTTTCAAGTCACACAGGTGTTATTATCTCGGACTCAAGTTTCAATGCACAAAGGCTGTGCATTGAGTAAACAAGGTACCTGGCAACAATTTGAAGCAAAGTGCGGATGTAATTTCTGCAGGGCTTTTCCTAAGTATGTCTACACATCATTCTGAAATTTTTGAGGGCACTCGTTTTTGAGCAGAGGTGAATTATATATCTTTTAGGCTTAAAACTTTCTGAGAGTTGATAACCAAGTCTCCCTGACGTTAGTGAGTGTGGGGCTCTAAGGAATAATTGAGTGTTTATCATTCGCTCTTCCTTTTCCGGGTAAGTGAAATTCTCTGTTTTCATTAAGATGAGAAATAATGTTGTTTCGGCTATGCTAATAAAACGTTAAAATTGAACGTGCTTCATCTGTGTGTTGATACATTAAAGAAAAAAATTGCAAGCGCAAAGAATTCAAAGAAGCGAGTACTCATTTTTTACCAGCACAACCTACGACAAGGCAATTCTTTTACCGTTCAAGGAAAAATTAGAGATTCGTGTAAACCGTACATAAATCATGTAAACAGTTCTTCCGTGTATAACGTTATAAATAAAATTGAGACCAAAGATTTTCCGCAATTCAACTGGCCTTTTTCAATTAAAAAGCCTCAATTCAATAGACGAATTCACAATGCAAGTTCAACCTCATATCTTCCCTCTTAAACTGATATGGAGGAGCAATCGAATCATTTTGTTCAAACCGAATCTTTAGCGCGAAAGTTCTGCCTCGTTGTTTAACAAGGGTGACGGAAAATTGCAAGCACAGTAAGGTAAGGAAAAAACCGGAGTCTTATTTAACATTTGTTCTCCTATCAAATTGCCATAACTCGAATATTCTCTCCCGCAAATCGAATGGTCACGAAATGTTTTGTATCGCCAAAATGTCGCAACTCATAACAACATGGATCAAGGCATTTAAACAAATATTTGGATGCTTGCCTCACTCGTTTCATTTTCGTCTGTTAGTCGCGAAGCCGATCAACATCTCAGCTGCGATTCTGTCCGAGAAACAACCTTTACAATTCCCAGATAACTGCAAGAGATGTAATAGTTACAGATATCGAAGAAGCGGTGAACAAAGGTGTAGCGACTCAGTCAGTAAAACATGCGGTAGACGTGTTGTTGACTTGCAGCCGATTCAGAATGGATTCCTTCATTTCTCTTCCGTTTGTTTCTCCCTCCGTCTATTTTTTAGTGCATTTTTGTTTGTTTACTTGTTTGGTTTGGTTTGCGTTAAATTTATGGGCCAGAAAAAACGTTCAAAGCATATTCCTAAATAATATACAATTTCCAATTTCAGCATCGGTGGCAATGGCGTGGAATTCAAGCTTCCTAGTCCTAATGGCCTCTTTGTATCTCATGAACCTCGCTATTGCTAAAACTCCGTGCAAGACAAAAGTTAGCGTACCTGGAATGGCTCTAAAAGGATTCGTCTTTAAAAAGGTCCCAGTATCATCTCCTCATGTGTGCGATATCACCTGCGAGAGGGAAACGATATGTCAAAGCTACAACTATGTAATTGGCGAAAAGTCCTGTGAATTGAACTCCCGAACCAAGGAAGCAAGGCCCGAGAATTTCCAGCCAGATGATTTACGCTTTTACATGGGACGCATTAGTGGTAGAAGTATGTATCCGGTTTAGTTTATTTTAAATACAAATCTTTCTCAATGAGTTCTTAGTAAAAACCTGCCACATTCTGGGAGCAAGTGTCTGATTGCTTTATTATTAAATACACTAATATCAGCTAAAAATTCACGGATCTTCATTATTATTATTCTGTGTTTATCTTGCCCGGACAAATATATTTTCAACTCTAATCTGTATTGAAACTTCTATTACCCTTAAACTATATATTAATGAAGTCATGTCTACATCATAGCCCCCTTAGGATCTATTCCCGAACTACCAGCGTTATCGTGCCAAGAAATAAAATTAAGTGAAGGTAAAGACAGCATCAGTAAAAAGTATTGGTTGGATCCAGCTAATGTCGGGAGTTCAGAGTTGGTTTACTGCGACATGATTTTGGAAGGTAAGTCAGTATACCAAGAACAGAATTTACACAGTGTTTGGTATGCCTTTGTCCTTGCCTTTTGTGAAATGTTTTCACTATGTCTCAGAAATTTCTTCGATTAATTTCCAAATAGACATCGATGAATGCAAAGGCAGCAATAACGTTACTTGTGACGAAAATGCAAACTGCTCCAATACTGTTGGGTCTTATAATTGCACCTGCAAAGACGGATTTACTGGGGATGGTCACTCGTGCTCAGGTAAAATAGTTACAGACATACCGAGGTACAATGTTTAATTTTTTTCTCGTCCAAAAAACACTGAAGGTACATTTGAGCTATCTACAATCGAGTGAGTGAATAATAGAATAATAATAGCTTGCATGCTATATCAGTGGATCCTTAGCATTAAACAAAGTAACTTATTAAGTAATTTTTCTTTCTTTTTTTAAGCAGCATTACCCATATATGTTTATGCACGGAGTTGCCATGATCTACATCCGGTTTGTTTCATAGCCATCATGTTAGGAGATGTAAAAAAAACCGTTGGAGAAGAGAATATAATATCTAGATTCCAAGTTTCAAAAAATCTAGTTCATTAAAGACAAAAAAAGAGAAAGGTTTTTGTTAATATTTGAAATGATTAAAGTAGTTGCAAATCATTAGGTGGCAAAAATAAAGTGCAAAACACATTTACGCTTTCTCAGATATTGACGAGTGTAAAGGAAATCACTCCTGTCACGTGAATGCTAAGTGCAATAACACCCTTGGATCACATATATGTGAATGTCAGCCTGGATATACTGGAAATGGACGAAACTGCACAGGTGAATTTAATTTCTTCGTTACAATATTTACAATAGGCCTGCATGACACGTTTAACTACGGCGCCGCACCATTCAGCCACGATGCAAGACAATTATATAATTTATTACTCATAACTCGTTATGATTTAGGCAGCCGTTTCTCATGTTAAGAACCTCTTAGATAATGTCCCTGACTTTTAAATGAACAATTTTGGTGACTGATGCACTGTTATTCTGCTTTTAAATAGACCTTAAAAAAGTTATTGACAAAGGAATGAAAATAAAATCGCTCGTTTGGCTCTGAACCCTGTGCACATGATAGATATGTACGTGACTTTCCATGGCACTACGTTTTCGTTGATATATTTGAGAGAAAAAAGTTGAAAATTATCATCAAGTTTTATAAAATAGTCAAGATACTACAAGCGTCCCGATTGGTCAAAATTAATTGTTATAGGGGGCAAGTTTCTAAAGAAACTTTGGTGCTCCGTCGGTGGGAGAGTATAGCAGATAATTTAGTTAACAACTGAGTTCAAAATATAAATTGGCCACCGTAAAGAGTAAAAAAAGCTAATCAGCCTTTTTACTCTTTACGGTGGCCAATCTACGTTTTCAACCCAGTTGTGGACACTAAATTACCAACTTTTGATTATGTTTTAAATGATTTAAAAACCTTACACAAACTTTAATGTGATGCAGACATGACTCTCCGTGGATCTTAAAAACCCTAAAAGAATCTCTCCAAGATTCCTTCATAAAAAGAGCAGTTATGATCAATCAAACTTATTTGACTTACGCAAGCCAATGGGCCTTTTGATTACAAATAATTGGATGATGCTAGTAGGCAGAGAGTTATTACACACTCCTAGGAAATAATTGGGTACTAGCGAATACTTCTGGGCTGGTATCTCTGTGTGGGAGCTGAGGATCAAAAATGTCTTAAACGCATTTGGTAGCATTCAGTTGAGCCGGTAAAATCAACTCAGGCTTTGATGGGCGATTAAAGCAAGAGGAAACGTAATTCTTCATAAAGCTATCATTTCATTTTAGTTCCTTTGTGCATCATCATTGTCTAACCCAAATTCATCAAAACCTGGGTGACGCTAATAGAAAGAGCAGTTAAGCTACATCAAAATTTGGTAAGCTGTTTTGTGAAGTGCTTGCGTCTAGGACCCAAGAAAACAAGACTAAGGTTTCTAAGCTTATGCTCGGCAACTTCTTCCCAATTGCATATTTTAAAATTTATTCTTTTTTTATGTTATCATTTTACAGATATTAACGAGTGTAAAGGAAATCACTCTTGTCACGTAAATGCTACATGCATGAACACCAAAGGATCGTATGTCTGTACTTGTCACCCAGGATATACTGGAAATGGAAGCGACTGCACAGGTACTTGATGCATTTCTTTTGAAACCATTTCCATCAGAAAGAAAGGCACTATCATATTTGCGAGACTTGTTTTATCAGCATACCTTGTATTGACCCTTTCACTCCTAAGATCTCATTAGTAATTCTCCTTACTGTCTACCATATAATTCTTATGAAGTCAGTTCTAAGAATTTGGTATTGAATCAACTGATAATCCTCGAGCTGATATTTTTCCTTATTCTCGTCACTTGTCTGTTCGATATTGTAATGATTTGGTGAGGAGAATTTCTTTCTTGGTCATTAAAGGGAGTTAGGTGGTTAAGTAAACATTCAGTGCAAGGTAAAAAATCTCGACTGGTAAAGGGAGATTTGATAGACAGGCTTACAGGACAGAACAACGGATTTGAACTTGGGGGGACCGAGATAAAAAATCTGGTGAGTGGTAATGTGAAGTGTTTGCGTCTAGAACCACAAGACAACAACTAGGGTTTCTTACGTCATGATCGGAGACTTTTTTACAATTACAGATTTTTTTTTTTTTTTTTTTTTTTAAGTCATGTTTATGATTTTACAGATATTAACGAGTGCAAAGGGAATCACTCGTGTCACGTGAATGCTACATGCAAGAACACCCTTGGATCACATGTATGTCAATGTCATGCTGGATATACTGGAAATGGACAAAACTGCGCAGGTGAATTTAATTTCTTCACTACAATATTTTTAATAGTCCTATATGCCTTCCGGCTACAGCGCCGCATCATTTAGCCGCGTTGCAAGACAACTAGACAATTTATTACCTATAACTGGTTTTGATTTAAGCAGCCATTTCTCGTGTTAAGAACCTCTTAGATAATGTTCCTGACTCTTAAATGAACAATTTTGGTGACTGATGCGTTGTTCTGCTTTAAAATTAAACTTATCACAATGACTTACAGGAGCATGAAAATAAAATCGCTCGTTTGGCTCTGAACCCTGTGCAAAGGATGGATATGTAAATGATTTTCCAAGACGCTACGTTTTCGTTGACACTCAAGATACATTTGAGCGAAAAAGTTGAAAATTATTATCATCAAGTTTTATAAAATAGTCAAGATACTACGAGCGCCCTGATTGGTTAAAAAACAATCGTTGATTGCGCCGGTAAACCTGTGGAAAATTGAAGTTTATATATGTTATTAAAGTAACAGACCGCACTTTCTATCGGTTTACCAGCGTAGTAAACGTCTTCAGATGTTGGGAAACCATTCGAAAAAAAAGTAGATCAATCGCCTCCAGCTCGTTCTCACAAAGTCCAGCGTGGATTATATCGCCAGTAAACTGAGAGAAAGAGCGATAAATAAAGGTTCTACAAGAACTGCGGTGCTGCGTCGGTGGGAGAGTGCAACAGGGTAATTTAGTATTATCAATTGAGTTGACGAGGTAAATTTGCCTCCGTAAAGAGTGTTACAGCGAATGCTCGAAACGTCACCTTTGAAACTCTTTACAGAGGCCAATTTGCATTATCAACTCAGTTGATAAGGTGAGAAAAATAATGGGGAAGGAAAAAAATCTGAAAGAAATGGCAGGTTGAGTCCTGAAGGGATTGTATGACCTTATCTGATCCTTTTCATAGAACGAAAGGAAACCTTAAGGAGGCAGAGAGAAATTACACACTCCTGGGAAATAATTGTGTTACTACCAAATACCTCGGGGCTGGCATCGTTGCGCGGGAGCTGAGAATCAAAAATGTCTTAAACGCATTTGGTAGCATACAGTAGAGGTACATACAACTCAGACTTAAATGGGCGATTAAAGCAAAAGGAAACATGACTCTTTGTAATGCTATCAGTGATTGAGGAAGGGATAACGCTCGAAACGTCAGCTTTTTTACCCTTTACGGTGGCAAATTTACGTTTTCAACTCGGTTGTTAACACTAAATTACCTGCTATAATTATCAAAACCTGGGTGATGCCAATATTAAGAGTAGTTACGCTACACCGAAATTTGGTCCAGTGTTTTGTGACGACCTATCCCCCAAGGGATGGTACGTTTTGTGGGAGCAGCAGGAACAAGCCAGTTGTTTCAGAGCCGATAGCTTGATAAACTGAAATACTCGTGATAAAATATACGTTTCAAATATCTAATTCGTGGAACACAAAAAGAAAAAATTGTTTTATTATGTATGATTATCAAAGTAATCACTCGACTGAGAGTCCGCTCATTTTAAAGTGACAAACATGATGAAGTGCAAATATATATGTGGTTTCCTCAGATATTGACGAATGTAAAGGAAATCACTCTTGTCACGTGAATGCTATCTGCACGAACACCAACGGATCCTATCTTTGTGAATGCCACCCTGGATTTAATGGAAATGGTCAAAGCTGCACAGGTGAATTTAATCTCTTTGCTATAATATTTAGAATATTCCTGCTCGAATATAATCTGAAGCTGCTGAGGTGGCCATATTATTAGTTTCTCATATGTAAACGATACCGGTTGTGCCCTAAGTCTGCCTAGAGCTGTCCTTTAATGCATTGTCTGAAAAAGAAGGAGCTCAAATTCGGATCCTGATGAGTTTATCTAGATTTCCAATATCACTGTTTTAGTCTCAAAGCCTTAAAGTAGTTAAAGACATGCGAGTTACAATGTTTAATTCGTTTTCGCCTAAAAACACTGTAGGTACATTTAAGCAATTGCTATCTACAATCGAGTGAGTGAATAACAGACCAATAATGACCTGCATGCTGTATCTGTGGATCCATAGCATTAAATAAAGCAATTTTAGCAGGAACTATTGTCCTACCAGTACTAAAGACGATCGTTAGCAAGCGATCTAAGATTTTAGTGCTTAGCTACCTTTTGTAATTCAGCGTGGCTTTAAGCAACGTTGGGGCTTTTCTTTGATACGTTTCTTAAACCATATATGAAAACTCTAAGAACGGGTGCTGTTAATTTTATCGTGAATTAATTCATCAATAAATTAAACTTGCTTCATGTTGAAGTTTATCAAAATGAAACAACACGAAGGTTACCTGCTATATTATTCAGTGTTATTTGTTGTCATTGTCGTTTTAACCGTGATTAATTGTTCTGCGAATCGAAGTCAGAGATAAAAAAAATTTGAGAATAGCTCGGGCTGCACTTTTTTATGTCTTTAGTTTTGATCAGCGCCGGTGAAAAATTAAATTAAAAAAAAAAAAATAAAACAGGAACGAAGTCTGATTCCTCAGTCTAACCGTTTCGTTGGTGACTAGTTTGAGTGCATTTCATTCGTTCATGGTTAAACGGGAACTCATTGTAAACAACTTCATCGTTGGGTCGCTTGATCTCTACATGTTTCGCCATGACTCCTGCTTAAAAGAGGTGTACTGTCATGATTGAGAAGAATATTCAGTAAACAAGGGAAAAAACGGCGACGATTTCAATTCCAAATTATACTTTACAAAATTATGAAGAAAAAAAGAGTAGTGCTGAAATCTAAAAGCACGAAACGAAATGACAGCGATACAAATCATAGAAAAAATATATATTTAGTGGGCTTCAAAATTTGATAGATGAATCTGCAGACTCGAGACTTAACTGAAATGAAATAATTTCAAAGTTTCATCGCCCATGTGGATTCATATTAACAACTCACTTGTAGTAAACTCTCCTCGGTTTGTGCTTGTCGTTACACTCTCAAAGAGGATAATTTCGTTGTCCTTCAAGTGGTCTATGAAACCGAAAATTCAAGGCTGATAATGATCCGAAAGAGCCAAAGTTAGGATATTCAAGAAAAAATATAACGTGGACGGTTCGTTGAAACGACTGCTAAGTCACTTTTCAACACAACGCGACGGTCTTCTCGACCCAGTTTTTTCTCGGCATTTTTGCTGTGCGCGCCGTTTTGAAATGACGTTTCCGTCCTCTTTGCTAAACCACTCTTTTTAACGAGTGTGAAGGAAATCATTCCTATCACGTGAATGCTACATGCATGAACACCCTTGGATCACATGTATATGAATGTCACCCTGGATATGCTGGAAATGAACAAAACTGCACAGGCGAATTTTATCTCTTTCCGAAATGACATAATTGACTCCAGCGCCGCACCATTCAGCCGCGTTCACTCATAACTCGTAATATAAGCAGCGGTTTTTCATGAAGGCGATGAAATTTTTATTTTGTTTCCCGCGTTGAAAGTAGCAGTAAATTCCTCAGTGTTGACTTTTATCCGAAATTCACATCGAGGAGGCATAATTTTATGCTACCTTAAGCACAAAAACGAATCATTTTTTGATTATGTTTTAAATCATTTAACAACCTTACACGAACTTTTACGTGATGCAGACATGAAACTCTCCGTGGAACTAAAAAACCTTCAAGAATCCCTGAGCTTTAAAGATTCCCTAATAATAATAATAGCAGCTATGATCCTTATTTGACTTATGCAAACCGATGAATGAGTTGCCAGTAATCGGATCCTTGTGTTTTCGCAAAGATTTCTGGGAGCGCCACGGGGCAAACATTACATCTCTCTAGAAATAAATGTATGGCGAAAGGCTGTTTCGAGGTCCAAAGAAGCGATTACGAAGAGAGATCATCGCTTTTTTGCCGCTGCTTTATCAGAATTGGAGTGGGTAATGCTGATTCAAGGGAAGCGTAAGTTTTGTTTGAACAACCATGAAATATGAAGTAAAATGAACCGATTGACTTTTCACCATGCGCACGGTTTATTGTGAAATTGACATCGTGTTCTGGTCTCGAAATTTAGACATATTAGCCTTTTCAGTTTTGTTTACGTGTCTTAAGTCTACTTATAGCTTCTAGCTTTTTTCTTGGCTTGGTAATACAAAAGAGCGCTACAACGATACCTTGAAGCACCAGGAGATCGTAATGGTGTGATTGGGCATTGAATAATATCGCGATGCATTAAAGTAATTGCTTAGGAAATCTTTGTGCAAACGCAAGGATCCGATTACTGGAAACTCATTCATTCGCGTTATAATTATAAATAATTGGATGGTGCTATTAGACAGAGAGTCATTGCACACTCCTGGGACTTAATTGTGTTACTACCAAATACCTCTAGGCTGGTGTCGTTGTTTGGGAACCGGAGATCAAAAATGTCTTAAACGCGTTTGGTAGCTTCAAGTTGAGGTACAAAGAACTACAGGCTTTGATGGGCGATTAAAGCAAGAGTTCACATAACTCTATATAATGCTATCATTTCATTTTAGTTCCTATTTGCATCATCACTGTCCAATCCAAATTCTTCTTTAAATTTTACTTAACGGATAGTTGTTCTTGTAAAACATTAGTCCTATCTAGTTGTTGTCGAACTGATTGACTTGAAAAATGTCAACAAAAAATGTTATCTTTGTTTATACAACCTTTTTGTAATGTTTATTTCATTTACTAGCCGACCCCTGTTATAATTATCAAAACCTGAGTGATGCCAATAGAAAAAGCAGTTACGTTACGCCGATAGACGAACCATCTTTGTGTGACAAGTTACTCCCCACGGGATGGTATCGTTTTGTGGGAGATGCAGGAACAAAAATGCCAACAACGCGTGTGCCAGCATTCAGATGTGGTACAGACTGGTCAGGCTGGTTGCATGGTGCTCATCCTACAGTGGAAGATGGTATAGTTCACAGGAAGGTCTGCTTCAGTGATCGTTCTTCTGGTTGCAGATATTATACAGATATTTTTGTAAAAAACTGTGAATCCTACTTCATCTACACACTTTACATACCTTTCTGTCCCTCGCGCTTCTGTGGTACAGACTGAATGTGAAGCAAATATACTTCGCTTAGCAAGAGGACTCTCAAATCGCTCCGTAGGTACGTATGTATATGGTTTTGATATGTGACGTATTCAACCTTACTTTAGTGGCAAACACGTATTTAATTCATTAGAATGATAATTCTCATTAGACATCGCCTGTCATCGCAGAGAGTTGCCCGAAGGAAAAAACAGGCCGTATACACTTTAATATAACTGAAAGACTGTACTTAAGTTAAAGACTGTACCTAAGTTATTTCCTTGAGATTTGTAGTTAAGTTTGTGGCAAGAGAGAAATCGATTAAAACACCACAGCATGACAAATAAATTCAACTGTCTCCTTTATCTAATCAAAGAATCATCATTGTAAGGCAATGATCTTTGTTCACACGGTTTTCTCCAGCTTGTATCTGATAAGTTTTCTGCCTCGGAACAAAAATACCTCAGAACGTACTTAATATGACCGGTAGTTTTTTTGATTGAGTGAAATTATAGATATGCGGAAATGATTTCCATAGGTTTTCTTTTGTAAGAAAATTATTTTCGTCCGCTTCTGATCAATCTAGCCGCCAATGTTTACATAAGATGAAAATCGATAAGATTTTACGTATTCCTATTGACTAGCTTTGCAATTTGTCCATGCAATGAAAAAAAACACAGCTGGGTTTTCACCATGGTATGCCATACGCATACCACGGAAAAAGGGAAAATTCCTAGCTGCGAGCGACCAGGGACAGAGGGAATTTCCATCTTCAGAGGTCGAAAAAATCGATTTTGGTTTATTTCACTAGACTGAATTCAAACATTCAACATAATGTTTCCATAAAATAATTCCGAAATCTTGAAAAACAACCGATTTATTTCGAAAAATGTATTTTTAAATGAAAGTTAATAAATTAGGAAGGTGTCATAATCTCGGACCTGGGCGCATCCCCTGGGCGAGTTTCGCGGCAACCGCTCACGTTGAGGCTCGATTTTCATTTAAATATAATTCCATATCTTGTTTACATCGCGCACTTTAAAAAAGCCACTCGTAGAAGCTCTTTGCTTGTGGAAAAATCTTTGCTGACGGAAAAATCAAGAGCGGAAAAAACTCCTTGGTAAAAAAAAAAAAAAAGAAAAAAGAAATAAAAGGCCCAAAGAAGAAAGAAAGAGTACCATTCTGTAAAGAAAAGAAAAAAATTTCCTTTGTAAATGAGACTTGTAATGTTGGAGCTCCACGCTGGCGTCCATATTTCGAACAAAGAAGTCGCCGTCCAACCAAACAAAGACATCAGCAATCGCCTCGAATCGTAATTTTAAAAGTTGTCTGTCGATTTGTTGTCTTGCTCATCAGCACATTTTCCGGCTTCTCCATTTTTACCGCGGGTTTTCTTTGCCTTTGGCAACTTTGCTCATTATTGTGTCGCCCTCCTCAACGCTCCACCGAGCGATCGAGAATCTTTATCCATCGTCATTGACGCCAGGAGGTGCAGTTGTTCCATTGCTTGCGGTTTGAGGAGACGAGTAATCTCCTGGCGTGGGGAGATGTTGTTTGCGAACCTCTATGAGCTAAAATCTCGAATTTGGTTTTAGGAGGAATATGACAAATTTGAGGGAATTTATTGGATACATAGATTTGTCCGATTTTCGTCAAATTTCACCAAAATATTCAAGGAATAATGATAACGGATGTATAAACGGTTGTGAATATATGGAAGTCATATATTTGAACTGCGGTTAAAGACGTGAATATGAAAGCGATCTATCACTTCTTTTCACTACTTCTTAAGTAGTGTTCATTACTGCGAAGATCGCTTTCATATTCACGTCTTTAACCGCAGTTCAAATATATGACTTCCATATATTAACAACCGTTTATTCACCACTTCGCGGGTTTATTTGGAACCAACACAGTGAACAACTTCCAGTCGGCTTGTTAGCTCAGTTGGTGGAGCACTGCACCGGTATCGCAGAGGTCATGGGTTCAAATCCCGTACAGGCCTGATTTTTTTTCAGGCCTTCTTTTCACTACTTTTTAAGTAGTGTTCAGTACTGCGAAGATCGCTTTCATATTCATGACAACGGATGTGTCGGGAAATCGTGATATTTGAAATATTTGTCCCATGGCGTCCATTTACGCAACACGCCTCACATATTTTTAGGTACTCCAACTTTAGATGCCGATGATCATGTCTAAAAGTACACCCCCCGAGTGACCACGCGTGACCACGCGTGACCACGAGTCACCACGAGTCACCACGAGTGAAAAAGCGAAAAAAAAAATCAATCATTAACTAAAATAAAAATAATTGATTAGCTAAGAAAAATATTAAGGTGAATTTTATGGGAAATGCTAAAGGAAAAAGAACTATAGGGCTGACCGACATTCCGCAAAGGAAACTACTTTGCGGTTCTGACGACTATCGACTCAAGTGAATCAAGTTCATCCCCTGACACTTGATCTATGGGGAGTGTATCATATGTCTGTTCGTCTCACATGTTACTGGTGAAGATGGCGTTCTTGAGAGGGAAGTAATTGTTAAAGGTAAGCCAAATTTGGTGTTGTTGGTTTAAGGATGAATTTATAATCATTGGGAATTTTCTGAGATAATGCACTTATCAGCGGCCATCCCGTGGGGTTGACCCCGGAGAACCCCCGGGCATTTGCACCAAGACATTTGCAAATTCCACCTATCCAGGGCCAATATTCCTCCACAAAGAGCTTCTACTGTCCCTCCCCCGGAGAGCATAATTTGAAAGGAATTCCAAATTGTAACGTAATTTCCTACATAATTTTTAATTAAAAAATTGTAAAAGTTTAGTTAGCAAAATATGAATAATTCAAACAGATGGCAATATAAATATTCAACACCTAATCATTAAAAGACTAGCATGGAAGAGATCATAGATTCTTGCGAAAAATGTTTTCGCTATGTTAGGGAAGGATGACTAACAAAAGGGGACAGATTTACGAGAGAAACGTAAGACACGCTTACCTTTTTCTCCGTCGCCAGTTTGGAAGCCGTTCAACGGTAATACCCAGTCCCCGCGGTCCGGATCTTTCATTTTCAAGATAGCGGCGATGTTACAAATCCCGCGGGTCTTTCCCCGTGTATCTTGCCTCGGAAGTGCAAAAGCGATCTAATGCCCGCGTCCCGGGCCAAAGATTGGCGACAAAAGTCAGCAAATTCCGCGCTATTCCCCCAGTATGTCCCCGGGGTTAACCCCCCGGGATGGCCGCTGATAAGTGCATAAGATGCATCATTCCTCTAACTTAGGATATGCTACATGATTATCGGCTGTAAATTTGAGCGGTGATTTGAGAAATTATCTTGTTCATCGACACAAAATGTTGAGTAAACTAGGTTGAATAATTTTGCGCGATACCCGCGAGCAAATGTGTGTAATGGTCATGCAAAACTAATTTAATTAATAGATCCTTAAAACATTTTCAAAGTCATTTATTACGGCAAAACGATTCGATTGCGTTACTTCAGTCGACAGCTTAAAGGTCAAACTATGAATGAAGCGTGGACGACTAGACTTATTACTAGACTTATTACAGATTACAAGGAAAAAATCACATTCGAACTTAACAGAAATTTAGATTTTGCTATGAGCTTTCATAAAAAACTTTCAATAAAATCACATTTATTTCACTTTTATTCGGGGTTTTTAATGAATGAGGGCTACAGTTCTTTTTCCTTTAATACTTCCCTTAAATTCACTGAGATATTTTTCTAATTATTATTTTATCTTAGTTAATGATTAATAAGTTTTACTAGTCACGCAATCAAACGCCGGCAACACTCGATCGAGAGAGATGTGGATTTATATGTGTCATAAAATGCTTTAAAAAAATACGGTATTTTACGAGAGAAGGAAGCAAATAATCATAGAGATCTGCAGATTATTCTGAAGTTTTTATCTAGCAGACAGCATGAACAACGCGCTTGAGTAATTCCTACGGAAAGTCTACGGGTCACGCAACAGTTAGTTTGGCGGAGTTCTGCATGGAAATGTTCGATGGCGGTAATAAGGATGTAATAATATGTGTGCAAACCCTCAGAGTAATTGGTTAAATACCATGGCAGCGCTTCAGCGAAAACTTATCAGTTGAAGTTGAAGTTAAACAAGCCACAATACAAAAGAAAAAATCGGAGGTTTCTTTACACACCTTAATCTCTAATGAGCTTCTTTCCGTGGTAATTTATGTCTTGCATGACAATCTTAAGTTCAAATTAAAGAATTTAGCTGCGACTCAATTTGAATAGACGTTTAGTATAAAAAGGGAAAATAATTCGTAGCTGAAAGCGACCGGAAGCAGAGGGAATTTCTCTTCGTTAAGTGAAAGTGAAAATGAAACTCATGACTTGGATTTCACACAATCAATATTCAAGAGACAGAAAGAGGGATGCCCTCTCGATTGCGGCGATTTGAAAGTTTTACTCAGCATCCTTAGATTTCATTTACCCATTGCTATAACAGTAAACATGGTGAAATATTTTTAACACCGAGTTAATGCGTAAACTCTTCATTAAGAGTCAATGTGACTGTATAAACGTTAAAATCAAATTACGAACGTCTGCACAATGTGAAACACACTTAGCTGCGTTAGACATGGTTAACAGCCGGTAAGAGACAGATTAAAGCGGTAGATTTATGAAGACAAGCAACCTTCGGAAATACTACAACCTCTTGATCAACATTTCACAGCTTGCTTCCTCGAGTTCACGACACTCTTAGTTTGCTCTGAAAATGGTTCACATGCAAGCATACCGAGCTCCCGAGCCCCCGAGCCGAATTTTTCCCGAGTGCGTCTCTTTCCAAATGTTTTGACAGTAGTTTAAGCGGTCTGAATTTTCTCATCAACATTTCCGAGAAACCGAAAGCTAACGACCGTGTGCTCGAATGTTTATCCAACATCTTGAACCCTTACGTTTTATTCAGATTCTATTAACCTTGATCTTGCTTCGCTTTCGCTATTTATCAGAATCACATACGACTGTATGCACGATGATAGT